TCAACCCATTAATCTGTACCATTCAGCTTTAAAACAAATGTGTAAAATGATAAAGCATTGAGGAAAACTTTGGCAGTCTTTTGGGTTTTTAAAAATAATGTTAAATAGACACTTAACATATGTCTTAGCTGTTCTCCTCTTAGGTTCTTAAACATATGCCCATAAAGACTTGACTACAAATGTTCATAGCAACTTTACTCATAATAGCTTCAAACTGGAAATAACCCAAGTGTTCATCAATAGAGTAAACAAATTTGAGGATATCCATGTAATGGAATACTACTTAACAGTAAAAAGGAACAAAGCACTGATACAATGTGGATAGATTTCCCAGATGTTAAATTGAGTGAAAGAAGCAAGGCACAAAATATTCTGATTCTTCTTAAGTGAAATTCTGACAAAGGGGAAGCAAACTTCTAATGATGGAAGTCAGGCGTTTGTTGCTTATTGTAGGGACCAGGGTGGGAGGGTGGGGGTGGAGAACTTGACTGCAAATGGACAAGAGGGTACCTCATGGAGAGAGGAAAATATTCTGTATCTTGATTGCAGCAGTGGTTACCCAAATGTATACATTTGTCAAAGCTCACAATCTGTATGCTTAAAATGTGTGAATGTCATTGCATTTAAGTCATGTCTCATTAATATGCTGAAACCTACCTTTTAGGGGTTGAGTGGGTGGGTGAGTAGAAGTAAGGAGAAAGGGTTAGCGTTAGGACTATGGCTAGGTCTAGCGTAGGCCTAGGAATTTGTTTAGTGTTTGGGTCATGGTTAGGACTAAGGCTACGAGTGTGGTGCTGTAGGATCAGCACTTGACTGCGAACGACTGGTTGGCAGTTCAAACTCACCAGCCGATACTGGGAAACCCTGAGAGAGTCAATCTGAGTAGGAACCTGCTCTACAGCACTAACAACAACAGAGCGAGGAGTCAGGCTTGGTCTCGGTTTTAGGGTTACAATCAGTTTTATTTGCATTTTTTCTTTGCAGTCTCTCGATTTCCTCTTCATTTAGAAGTTCTGTGACTACATTATGCCATCTTTTTTGCTTTATGGGGTTTTTTTGTTGCACAAATGTCTGGTTCTCTGTTTTCAGTCTTGTAGTTCTATCTTACTTTGCATTATCTGTATTTTATCTGGATTGAGTCTAGGTGATATTGTCATGTATGCTAGTAACCGGTTGTTGTCTGCTGTCGTTGGTTCTCTGTTCAAAGAACTCTCTAGTATTTTCTGTAAGATTTGTCTGGTTTTAACAAATTCCTTTAATTTCTGCTTATCTATTTCACTGCCTTATTTGATGGACAGTGTTGTTAGATATATGATTCTCGGTTGGAAATTTTCTTTCAGAGTTTTATAAATGCCATTCCAGTGTCTTCTTGCCTGCATGATTTCTGCTGAAAATTCAGAGCTTAGTCTTATTAATTCTCCTTTGTAGGTAACTTTTCATTTTCCCTGAGCTGCTCTCGGGAACCTTTCCTTGTCTTTGGTTTTGAAAAGTTTGATTACTACTTGTCTTGGTTTTTCTTTTGGAGTCTATCCCATTTGGAGTTGCTTCAGCTTCTTGAATGACTATATTCTCGTCTTTTATAACGTTAGGGAAGTTTTCTTCCAGTAACTCTTGGACAGTATTCTTTATGGTATCTTTTATCTCCTCCTATTCTGGAATTCCAGTCTCACATAAGTTGTTCCTCTTTGTAAAACCCCACATAAATCTTAGGGTTTCTTCAGATGTTTTTGTTGTTTTTTCTGATTGTTCCTTTAGCAGTTGAATACTAAGAAATTCTTATTCAGGCTCAATAATTGGACTTTTCACTGAGTCCATTCTATTTCATTGCCCTTTCAGTGGGTTATCTATTTTTAAAGTTTTAGTGTTAATGTTCTGGCTTTCTAATTGCTATTTCTGTATGGTTCCTTTTTTTTTTTTTTTTTCTCATTTATTTTGTCAGTTTGTTTCAAGTATTCTGTTGTTTTTTTCCATGTTTTCCTTGATTTCATCTGTAGTCTTCTTGGTCATTCTTTCAGTTCATTGAAATCACCTAAATAGCATTATTTAAAATTCTTTATCAGGTACTTTTGATACCATTTCTGCTATTATAATTTCTAAGTCCACATTTTGGTCACTTATTTCAGGCACTCCATCTTGTTTCTTCATGTAATTGTCAGTTTTCTCTGAAACATTGTGGTGTCATTATATTTATATTTCAATGATGAGTGGATATCATTATGTTCTCAGGCGCTTACCACCTGTCTCCTGATGTGGTAGAGACTGGAATTATGAACACAGTTCTCTGGGTTCAGGGTGGGTTCACACACCTCTAAAAGCAGGGTCACTATACATGGTACCTGACCCCAGGTGGAGCGGAGGCTTCATGGGAGGAGGTGCCACTGGCTGCTGGGTTGGTGACGGGGAAGACTGTCCATGCATCTGGTTAGCAGGAGGCCATAGGAACAAGGGAGAATTTCACCCTGTCCTGGGTCCTGTCCTGTATCAACAGCTCAAGATGGCCGCACTTCTTCACGTCAGTCACAGCCATTTTTCTTCTCTCTCACTGCTGCTTTTCAGCTTCCTCTTACAGTTGGCACTCAGTCCACCTCCCTGTCTTATACTCTGGTGTTCAGGACTCCAGGCTTACCATCTATATCTATTCCACTCAGTGTCCCATGTCGTTGTTGCAGAGGGTCGGCTCAGTGAATCTGCTTACTCCGCCATCTTACACTGGAAGTCAATATGCCTTACTTTGAGAAAGAAAGAGAGAAAGAAAGCCTCCCTCAAAAGGAGCACGGAAAGAAGGAGATATTCCATGGTTAGAAGGTGGGCTCAAGTTAGCCGTCCAGTGTGATTGTAAACAAGATAGTCTCTGCCCTGTGGTGTGAAAATCCCCAGAGAAGTAGTGAGAAGTGGCTACATTCATTCTTTGTTTATCAAACCACTTGGGGTTCTCGTCTGGAAGCTGGTTCTGCAGAAGCAACGCTGCTCCAGCCGTTAAAACTACCTTCTCAGGATGAGTGAGGCTGGTGGCCCTTTATCCTACTTGCCATGTCCCGAATCAAACTATGCTGGATGCTGTCCTTGTTAACGTTCCTTCTGATTCCAGGACATTACCAGTTGTAAATGTAGCCCCATTGGTGTGCCACAGCTGGCAGAAATGGGAGCAGCATGTCCAATTCCCTACAGCTGTCAGAGTAACTTGAATGGTTTTCCCGAGTGGGCTGCCTCCAAGCTTATAAACCAATCAGAGTCCAAAGTACTGTTGACAGTAAAAGAAAAATTGACACTTATAGCACATTTCCTATTTTGAATAGTATTATGGATGGCAGTATAACAGACCAACTTCTGAAAACTCCCTTGTGCTCTAGGACATTGCAGCCCTAATCTAACCTCAGAGCAGCCAGAATCCTGTGTTCCCCTTCCCTTTTGAAGGCCAAGTATCTTTTCCTACCAGGATAGGAATCAGCCTCATCTGCAGATGTTGGAAAGTAAGTCTCCTTTCCCCTGACATTGTAAAACACCCAGTGGTCACCTTTATTTACAGATGCTCAGGCAGTGTCATGGATAACCAAATAAACATTTCTAAGCAAGGGTATGGTCAGTGATTCAAACCCACCACCTGTTCTTCAGAATCCCTGTAGAGCATCACTATGAGTTACAACCCTTTCCAACAAGAAGTGAGGGTATAGATCCACTCGGGACTGCAGCACATGAGAGAGTCACGTGGCCAAGGCAACAAGGTGTGACTCAAATGAGTCTGGACTCTAAGCAAGAGCAGATCTGAACTTCAGGTTCGTTTATGCTACATACCAGCTCTGAGATCTTAAGCATGGGCTGCCAGTGTGAGTATGACCAAGGACAGAATTTGGGCTTCCTTGATTGAAAAGCGTCTGTTTGGTAGGAACACAAAAGGAAGTCATCATCATAAATCCAAAGCGCCCAATTACAGTTAATGCAGCATCTTTTCCTAACAGAGAAGGATTTCCGCAGCCACTGCTAATCCTCCACTGGCTTGTGGTGTTCTCAGAAAGCAGTTCCAGTTTAGAGCTGCCCCACTTGTTACAGGCTGAATCCTGAGCATTTGCTACTTCTCTTTTGTACCCTGTTTCTGCAACTGGCATAAAAAGTTGGCGTGACCACAAACGCAATCATGAACACACCTTCTCTGAGGTTGTGCTTTACAAATGCAAGTTAATTTCACTGGGGACAGACTTTGGAGATTCTATTTGTCCTTGGCCCCACTTTATATTACAAAGGTGCAGAGAGTATGTGACACCCAGCTGGGCCAGAGGGCATATTTCCAGAAAATACAGCATCTGGAGGAGTCAAGTTGCTTCCAACTCATAGCAGTCCTATATAGGGTTTCCAAGGAGCGGCTGGTGTGTTTGAACCACCTACCTTGCTGTTCAAACCAACCTTGTAGTCCAGTGCAATATACTGCAACACCACATCAGGACGCTTGGGACCATTTTCTGTGTGGCCAATTGTGCCTTAACCACAAACCTGCCTCTTCTTTGTTACTCTGCTGGTGGGCAACATGATCTTCTCCTCTAACAGAGATTCCTCTACCCTCCCCTAGGACAGTACCTCTCACACTTTGGTGAGACCAGAATTACCTGGAACACTTGTTAAAGTACAGATTTCTGGGACAGTCCTAGAGTTTCTGATGCAGTACGTCTGTTGTGAGTATCATACTTGCCTGCTAAACAAAAAGTTGATGGTTCCAACCCACCTAACAGCTGCATGGGAGAAAGACCAAGTGACATGCTTCCATAAAGACTACAGACAAGAAATCCCTAAGGGGGAGTCCAGGGCAAGGTAGTGGAGCAGGCTGATGCACTGAGCAGACCCTCTGCAACAAAGACATGGGAAAACAAGTGAAGCAAATAATGGATGCTGAACCTGGAACCCTGAGCTTCAGAGGATAGGACAGAGAGGTGGATCGAGTGCCAGCTGGAAGAAGACGCTGAACAGGAGGTGTGAGAGAGAAGAACCAGGCTGGGAGGACTGTGACTGACATGGAGTGGAATGGCCATCCTGAGCTTCTGTGAGTGGCTGTTGATGCAGCAGTCTGTGGGCACAGGATGTGCCCCACGTTTAGCAGCAAGAGGGTGCAGTTCTCCCTTGCTCCTGTGTCTCCCTTGCTTCCAGTGGCCAGTGGTAAGCCCTCCTGCAGAGGCTTTGCTCTGCCTGGGGTCAGGCACCGGGCATAACGCTCCTACTACTGGAGGCAGGTGAATGTACCCTGAACTATGCAACACAGACAGTGAACAGAAAACTAACTGCTTTCACACTTCCAGTCTCTACCACGTCCACCAGGACACAGGTGGTATGAGTGCCTGAGAACACACCAATATACATACAACCATCAACTAAATGTAAATATGACACCACAATGTCTTGGTGAAAACAGACAATTTCAACTTACACAAAGAAACAAGACAGAGCGCCTCAAACAAGTCACCAAAATACAGGGTCAGAAAACATAATACTAGAAGTGATATCAAAACTACCTAATACAGGATTTTAAAAGGATGCTGATTAGGCAACATCAATGGATTGAGAGAAAAATGAAGACAATTACAAATGAAATCAAGGAAAACATAGACAAAACTATGGGAAACATCAGGAGACAAAATGACAAAATAATTGAAAACATGAGAACCATATAAAAATATCGGTTAGAAAGCCATAATATTAACACTAAGCCTTCAGAAATACATAGGTACTGAAAGGGCAAAAAAAAAAAAAAAAGATTGAATCAGTGGAAAGCTGAATTACTGAACTTGAAGAAAAATCAACATTCATCTGCTGAAGGAATAGTCAGAAAAATAAAATATCCAAAGAAAGACTAAGATTTATGTGGTGGTGGTGGTTATGTGCCGTGGAGTCAGTCCCAACTCATAGCGACCCTGTACAGAGTTCCCGAGGCTGTAAATCTTTACGGGAGCAGAAAGCCTCATCTTTCTCCCGCGGAACAGCTGGTAGTTTCGAACTGCTGACCTTGAGGTTCGCAGCCCGATTCATAACCACTACACTACCCCAGAGCTCCTTATAAAGAGGAATAACTTCCATGTGACAGGAATTCCAGACCAGGAAGGGACAAAATTTCTCATAGAGAGTATTGTCCAAGAGTAATTAGAAGAAATTTTTCCTAACATCATAAAAGACAAGTTCATTCAAGAAGTTGAAGGAACTCCTAAGAGAATAGATCTCAAAAGAAAAACACCAAGACACATTATAATACAACTTTTCAAACCAAAGACAAGGAAAGAATCCTGAGAGCAGTTTCAGAAAAACAAAAAGTTGCCTACAAAGGAGAACTAATAAGACTAAGTTCTGATTCCTTAGCACAGGGCACACAGGCAAGAAGCCAATGGGATGACATATCTAAAACTCTGAAAGAAAAAAATTGTTCATCAAATGTGACAGCAAAAGAGGTCATTTTCAGATAAACAGAAATTAAAGGTTTTTGTGAAAACCAGACCAACCTTACAAAAAATTCTAAAGGGAGTTCTTTGAATAGAGAACCAGCACGAGCAGACCACACCCTGAGACTAAGACACAAGACAATATGAGCTAATAGTGGAATGATGGTAGGAATCCTTCCTGGGTTCTTTTGGCTTAAACAAGGTCCCTAACAGCTGCTGCACATAAAATGTGCTCTGCCCAGCATAGTTCTAAACTATAGTCCATTTTCCATTGCTCTCTTCATGTGTCATCCTTATCTCCTTGACTTAAAGTGGACAAAATGGTTTTTATTAGATTTGCCACCAGAAAGTTACCTCCAAGCCTGCATTGAATCATCCAAATATCTAAGTGCACTCAGTTAGATCCCAAAGGGGAATTATAAAGAGGTGGAGGGGTGTGTACCTTTGTAATCAGATAAGATATGGGTTATAATTTATTCTTTTCTATCTCATGAGTTAGTTTGTGAAGACTGAGTAAAATGATACATGAAAATTGCTTAGTACAATGTTGTTGTTGTTGTGAAGTGCCTTCACTCCATAAATGGAAACTTAGCATTGTTTTAGTAACCCTATGGGCACTGAGGAGGGAGTAAATGGGTGAAGGGAAAGAAGAGAGAGAAGGAGGCAAGCTATAATTCCCAAGCATGCACAGCCTGAAATGGAGTTGGGGGGAACCGAGCTTCAGAATTCAATTGTGAAATCCAGCCCATGCCAGAAACCTAAATTGTACCTTGGAGTGTGGGCATCCTGCCTTGAAATGGGAAATTAGGCAATTTCACAAGGATGCACAGCTGTGTTGCCTGAGCCGTTTTGTTCCAGGCAAACTAGAACAGGCGGCGAACCTTTGGCAATGGAGATGCGCAGTGCCAGACAGCCTGCGGCCAATTCTCAGGGGGACTGAGGGAGAATACCAAGCAGCTTTCCTGCTGCTCCCTGGGAAGCGGGCCTCAAAGCTGGCCAGCTGGTGTTCCAGAGGGAGTAGACACTCTTCTTTGACGTCAGCAGCTCCACTGATTCGCCCACCCGCCTCCTCTAGACACTGGGCCACCCTCCCTTCCCGCCTCCTCTCTGCTCTCCTCCACAAGCTCCTGTATGAGGAGGAAGAGGTGCAGCGAGATGACTTCTCGGATGGCCAGCAAGCCCCCGATGAGAATGTCAGATCAAAAGCTTCAATGCCCTTTTTAGGTAAGTGGCATGGTCAGGCCAGGAGTTCTTGTCTTTTTCTTCTGGCTTTTGAGAATTTGAATCTAAGGGTAGGCAGATGATGTATGGTCAGACCAGGTACCCTGGCCACTTTGGGCAGTTTCCAGAGCTCTCTGAGGGGTTCTTTAAGAGACTCAAAAGCCCTGTTGTTGTCCTTGAGGAGGCTGCTGGATGAAACCCTGCAGGCTCTAGAACCCAGGGTTCTGGAGACACCCTGGGCCTGTTCCTTGCTTCTCTAGAGTATGTCAAGGACCTTCATGGGGCTGCCTTATCAACTACCCCAACAGTAAATTGTCCTATTTCTCCTCCTTTCATCGTAATCCTCTCTCTTAATCCTCTCATCAAAACTTTCTAACAAAACAAAAAAACCAAAAACTTTCGAACAGCATAAGCCAGGAAGCAAAAGCTGGGACTCATCTCTATAAAATCAATCTCACTTCCCTTTTGAACTTTGGGAAGAAATGAAGGCCAATTTTCTTAAGTAATTCAGAATGGAAATTGTTGATGATGGAAACAGTGGTGTGAGAGGGTCTAAGGAGTAGATGTGCAGGAATTGGATTCCATCTCAGGCATCTACTATTTATTTCTCTCTGTCTTGTGGGATAAGTGGAGTCACTTTGAACTAGTCAGTATTAATCACTGAAACAAGAAAAGTAAAAACAAGTTTGGGTGCTGGTGGTAGGGGGGCACATACTAGAAGGGGAAAGGGAAAGGGAAAACCAGGCAGATGGGAGAATAGCTAGGCAGGTTTGCATGGGCTAAATAGGACAGAGGTAAATAATGATGTTAGCACAACCATGGAACAACAGGGTTCAGGGATACAAAGGCATGGTTTGAAAGGGTAAAAGTTGGGATATAATGTTAAGATGCTTGCCTGTCTTTTGAATCTATCTTTCCCTTACCTACTATTGTAAAATAGACTCTTTTTTTTTTTCCTTAAATATTTTATTGTGAATTAT